AATTTGAGCATGTTGATCTCAGTATGCTATTGAGATATTATTTGTACTGAGTTGAATATTCCACACTTATTTATTCTTACTAGTAGTAGTAACAACTGAACTAGCACTTGTTGCAGTGTCACTAATAATTTTATCAGCTAAAAAGGTTGGAAGTAATGGAACAATAATTCTACTAGCTTTTCCTTTCAAAGTTACCATTTCTTCAGCAATTCCCAATTCAATTGAATCAATAGCAATGGATGCAAATTGTTCAGGTGAAATAAATTTACTTCTCTCACGAACAACACCATTCTCAGCACCAAATGAATTTGCTTGGAAATCAGTATAAACATGAGGTGGACATAAAACAGTAACATCAATCTTTCCTTTCATTTCAATTCTCAATGTATGGAAAAATCCATTAACTGCATGTTTCGATGAAACATAGGCTGTTCTTAATGGAGGTGTATATTTACCACTCAAACTACTAACAACTGCAATCTTTGGTCTATTGATAATAGTATTTGGATTTGATAATTTCATACTTGGAAGTGCATAATGAACTGGATAAACAGCTCCCCAACTGTATATTGTAAATATTAGTCAACCAAATTTCAATGAAATTTTAAAAACATACAAATTGACATCCATCAATTTTTTATGTTGTTCCAAATTAGTAGATTCATCAAATCTCTTTTTCATTCCAATTCCAGCATTTAAAATTAAAATATGAATTTCCTTATTATTTAAAACTTGTAAAGTATCAGAAATAAATGTTTTACAAGATTCTTCATTAGAAACATCAAGATAAATGACATGACATTGCTCAGCTCCCTTTTTTAAACATTCTTCTTTAACTTGATTTAAATTTTCAACATTTCTAGCTCCTAAAACAAGTGTTGCTCCCATACTAGCATATTGACCAGCTATTGTTGCTCCAATACCTATTTAATAATTTAATATTATTATAATTAAATAATTTAATAATTTAATATTATTATAATATGATATCATCCAATATTAATTTCATCATGATCATCATCAATTCTTTTGATAATGATATTATATTAACACATACCACCTGAAGCACCAGTAATAACAACATTAATTCCCTTATAACTAGTTGATGTTTTTGGTTTGATCTTTAATTTCCGAATAATCCATTCATCCAATGCCACTGTTCTAAATAGAATTATCAAAACAATAATTAACAATAAAAGTGTTATGTACATTTTTTTTTGAAAAGCCTTCAAAGCCTAAATCAAATTGCAAAGGCTTCCTTGCTATTGTTTACTTTAAAATCATGAATTTAAACAAAATTAAACAATAACGAGTTTACTTTTCCTTCATAATTTCCTTTTCTTTTTGATCAACTAGATTATCAATTTTAGTAATCATGTCATCAGTTAATTTTTGTAAAACTTGTTCATCATGGAAAATGTCATCCTTTGAAGCACCTTCCTTTTGAGCTTTAATTTTAGTCATTCCATTTCTTCTTAAATCTCTAATTTTATCCTTTGCACCTTCAGCAATCTTTTTAGCATTCTTTACAACATTTTCACGCATTTCCTTTGTCATTTTTGGTATTGGAATATCAATTGAATTTTCATTAATTTGTTGTGGATTTAAACCTAAATCTTCTGAAGCAATTGATTTGGAAATTGCACCTGTTGTAGTCTTATCAAAAACATTTAAAGTTAAACATTTTGGATTTTTAACAACAATAGATGCCAATGATTTAAGTGGACGTTTAGAATCATCATTCATTGTAATCATTACATTTTCAACAAGTGATGGATTAGCACCTGAACCAGATCTTAATTCTGAAAGTTGTTTTTGACTTGATTGAACAAATTTATCCATCTTTTCACAAATATCTTTATAATTGAGAGCATCAGTAGCAAAACTATCTAATTTACCACTAAGTGTTTTTTGTTTTGGTGGTGGAGCCTTGGCATATGAACATTGTTGAAGGCTTGATGTCGGAATAATAATAGAATGTTTAATTAATGATGATGATGAAGAAGCTGATGAAGATGAAGCCTTTAAGAATGTTGTTGTTGTAACTCCTCTCAATGAATGAAGCATGTTACCTCCCCTATGGAGAGTTGTTGAAAATTTACGAAGTGATGAAGAGAACATTTTTTTTTAAAATTTAAATTGAAAAAATATTTATTTGCTGTTTATTTTGATTTGTTTCTCTCTTAGCACACAATTATTAAAACATTTAAATTAATATTAAAAGAGAAGAGTACAACAAACATTTTATTATCTATAAATCAAGTAACCATTCTCTTTAATAAAGTAACAATATTATTTCTTAATAAAGAAGTAACAGGGAAGAATGCACTTAAAAAAGCTGAAATGAATGCAACAGCAATGACAATTAAAATTAATTCCCATGGAACATAAACACTGACAGGTAGTTCAGTAAATAAATTTGATTGAAGTGACATTGTAAAACCCAAAACAAAACCAATTACAATTCCAATTAAAGAAGCACTCAATACTAATACAAGTGCTTCATAAACATATAATCTTTGTATGAAAAACTTTTTACATCCAATTGCTCTTAAAATTGCAATTTCTTTTGTTTGTTCTTGAATATTTGTATATAAAGAAGAAACTAAACTAAAGAAACACATAATCATTGATAATATAGTTACAAAATATAATAGGAAATTTGTAGCTTGAAGTGCAACATTAATTGTACCTAAATCATCATTTGCATCCTTAATAGATAATGATAAATATCTTAAATAGGAATTTAATTCCTTTTTAAATTTTGAAACTTGAGATTCTTGTGCATTCTTATTAATATCAATAAATAATCTTTCAATTGGAATTTCACTCATTGATTTAAATGTACCATTTGCAATTCTAAAATAGGATGGAAATGAAATGATAGCATGTTGAGCTGTTGTACTTGGAAATGATGAAAATGTAAAAAATGGAGCATTTGTTAAAAAACACATTGGTCTCATTAATCTATAACTATAAATTGGATATTTTGGTGTTGGTGTTACAAATTCAATTAATACTGTATCATTTTCCTTATTTGAAATTGATAATAAATCTTTAAATGTACCACCAAGTATTATATTTTCTGATCCTTTTTGAGTATATAATAATTCACTAATAGTTTGTGGTGAATAGACATTTTCACCATTGGCTGTCATAAATATTGCACTCGATGGCCTTGTATGAAACATTAAAAAATAAGGATCCGTTACAGATATGAAATTAGGTGGTACAGCACGTATAGTTAATGTACCATAATTAAATTGACCTGGTGGATATATTTTCTGATCCTTATTATAGGGAGTATAATAATGTATTGGATAGGTCATGTATGTAAAATCATTTACAATATTGGGTCTATAACTTTCAATAAATGATTCAATTTGTTGACTATAATCTTTCAAATCAAAGCTGTAATTATCTTTAATAATAATTCGAGTTCCAAAATCTTGTAAAATTTGATATTTAAAATTTGCTAATTGTAAATTAAATGCAATTGCAACAAAAATAACAAATCCCAATGACATGGCATACATGATTGTTGTTTTTCTATTACGTAAACGATGTGCAATTAGATTTTTTAAAATTAATTGTCTAATTGCAACACTTTCCCAAAATAGTAATATTGTTGTAAAGAATGTTTCAATCATATTTTCCAAATTAAGAGCTAATACAACTAAACCTAATAACATTCCTAATAATACAGCAAAAAACATTGTTAATAAAAAGTTTAAATTTAAAGTTAATAAACTTAGAGGAAAGAAATAATAAACACAAAATCCAGAAATTACAATTAATCCAGGAATTACAACTAAACTTGTTGAAATTGAAGTTTCTGAATTTCTTTCAATTGAATATTCAACTGATTTTGTTTTACTTCTTTCTGTATCAAGTGAATCATGTAAATTTTGACCTAATGCTGCTTTAATTGGTAATAAACTTGCTAATAATGGAATTAAAATACCTAAACAAATTGAAACTATAACTGATGTATAATCTAATAGACGTGAAATTTCATTAGTTTCAAAAAAATAACTTAATAAATATGAAATTCCAATATAAATCATTCCACCTAAAAATAGACCAATTACTAAACCTGGAATTGAATATAAAAAAGCTTGTTGTATAATTAATTGTACAACTCCTTTTCTATGCATTCCAATCATTCTTAAAACACCAATTTCAAATGTTCTATTTTCAACATTAATCATTAATAATGAATAAATTAATATTGTTGATAATATTGTTAATATTGTAATAATAATATTTATAATTAATCCTAAAAACATTGAAACAAATCTTAAATCATTTAAATAAACTAAAATTGGATAATTTTGACTAATTTGATTAAATCCAATAAAATAAGAAATTGAAGAACCAAATTTAACAATCATTTCTTTAACTTGTGAAAATTGTTGTAAATTATATTTTTGTATACGTGTTGGTGATAAATTAAAATATAAAATTGGTGAATATTCTCTTAAATTTAATTGTTCAATTTGTTTTTTAATTTCAAAATTATAATTTAAATTTAAATATTTTGTAATTGATTTTAAAAAATTATTATAATCAATAAAAATATAATTATTAACTGAATATTCCATTTTTCTATAATTTGTTGATAAAATATCTTTAATTTTAAAAGGTGCATATGTTAAATATTCATTTTTATCAATTAAATCATTAAAATTATTATAATTTTTAATAATTGTAAAAATGGAAGAAACATTTACTTGTAATAAAATAAAATCATTAATTTTTAAATCTAAATTATCAGCCAATACTTGAGAAATGTAAATTTCATTCTCATTCAATTTTACATCTTTATCAAATGATCTTCCAAATTCCATTCTCTTTTCACCTTCCAAATCAAGTATATAAATTGATGTTTTATAAAAAGATGAACAATATTTTGGAATACAATTACTTGTACATCCCAATGATGAAATATTATAAAACCATGATATTTTGGAATATTCTTCAATTGTTGATATATTAAAATGTAAATCATTAAATTGATTATTAAATTGACATGATTTTGTTGTAAAAACATTTCCACTCCATTGAATTCTAGGTGAAAAATAGGAATATTCCTTTTCATAATCATTTTTACCAATTGCTTTTAATAAATTTGATTCAACTTGTGAAATGTTAAATAATAGTGTGGATGGTGAATTTGTATTTGGTGTTAAAACAATGTCAGATTCAAATTGTGTATTTTCTGCTAATCTTAAAAATATAATTGGAACTTGTTGAAGTACTGATAATGCAATACAAACTACAATTACAACTAATACACATGATCCAACTCCTAATAAATATGCTAATTTCCTTTTACGTATTTCTCTAAAATTATGTGAAAAATAGGTCATGTATAAAAATAGTAATGACATGATGAATTTTTTAATTTCTATAAATGTTGGAAATTTAAAATTTCTAATTTTACTTTTTAAATGTGATAATTTTGAATAAATAATTTTACTTTTACCATTATTAGTATTATTATTAGAATTATTATTAGAATTGGGTATATTATTATTATTAGAGGTAGAAGAAATAATTTGATGAGGTAAATTAGAATGATGATCATTCATTTGACTTCTATATGTTAATTGAGAAGTTACTAGTGCTGATTCTCTTTTAAGAGAAATGTCTCTTGAATCATTCATTGTCGGTTGAGTATTAGTAGTAACATTGTTACTATTAATTGATGATGAATGAACACCATGATCATGTTTTTTCAATTGTTGTTGTTGTTGTTGGTGATGATGAGGTAAATGTTGTTGAATAATCTTTTTTAATTCTTCATTTTCTAATTGTAATTGTTTTAGAATATCGAGAGGAGGTTGTTGTTGATCATGATGAGAATTATTGGTTGATGATGATGATGATGAAGAGGATGAGGTTGAAGTATGACGATTTGATGTTGTATGAACATTTCCAGAGGCTATTGTTGGATGATGATGATTGTGAGCACCATCATATTCTTCTAATTCAATTTCTAATGTTGTTGATGATGATTGTGATGATTTGGGACTGGTTGTGCTAGCACTATTTTGTTTTAATTGTTGATTCATCATCATGTGATTATTATTGCTACTAGTAGTGGTAGCGGAATTACTTGTATTATTACTTGTATGATGAGCAGTTGTTGCTGTTGCTGTTGTTTGAATGTGATGAGGAGGTTCTTCATCTTCTTGGTTATTATTGTTGATTATTAAATTGGATGAACTAATATTGGATTCCGGAGTAGAATAATTGTCAATGAGTGAAGAAGTGGCTATTGTTACTCCTTCTTCTACATGTTGAACAGTGTTTTCCAATGATGGTTCAACTCCATTCGCAGATGGTTCAACTCCATGAAGTTGTTGTTGGTGTTGAGAACCTCTGTCCATCATGATTAGTTTTTTTCTGCTTGAAATATCAATAGAATATTGTGATGTTCAGACAACCAGATTATAATGTATGTGTGCTTTTACAAGTCATCTAAGGAATCAAATGTTCATTTCATAATAGAACGCACTAATTCCTTTTAGACAAGTTACTCAATCCTGATAACATGTAACAAAATATTCTCCGTATTAAGAGTTCAAAAGGGCACCCAACAACATTTATTTCAATAATTATCAGCTTTTGTACAAATTGTTAATGTTTATTCTTCTGTGAAACTGCTGAAATGACATTGTTGTGAAAATTATCTGTGCCTACCTCAACAGACCTACACCCATTTACAATATTTTCAATTTCACTCTTGTATCTTTGTGCCATTTGAGATCGATACCTTTCCAATTCCAGTATTCTTTGTTTGGCAGCTTCATTCTTTTCTTTAATTTCTCTACAATGTGCTTCTTGGGCTTCTTTTTCTTTTAGTGCATCATTTTCCATTGACATGGCTCGTTCCAGTTTTTCATAGAATTGACCTTCAATTCTTTCAATCTTTTCTGAAAGTGATTGATTTTGTTTTTCTTGTTGCTTTTTTAAATTATCAAATTCCATTAATTTGGACTGTAATTTTTCAATTGATTCTTGTTTCGTCTTGTTACTCTTTGTAATTTCCTTCTTCTTATTTCTAAGCTCTTCTAACTGTTCTGCCAACACTATCGATTTGGAAAGAATTTTAGTGAATTGTTCTGCATTTTTCATATCTGATAAAGTGAGTTGTTGAATTTCTTCTTCTAACGTTTTAAGTTCTCTATGACTTGTTTCTATACATGTTCTGAGAAGTGAAATTTTCTTTTTCAAATCGTCTGGATTTGAAACAATTTGAGATTTAAGTGATTGGTTTTCCTTGGTTACCACTTCAAGATGATGATGTGAAATATCAATTTCCTTATCTAAATGCTCATTTTCTGCTTGAACATTTTGTAATGTCACTTTGAGTTCCATATCTTTCAAATTCATTTCTTGTATGGCTTGTGTCATTTCTCTCACTTTGTCTCCTAGAATTTTAAGTTTACCTTCATTAACCTTTTCTTGTTCTTTGTATGAATTTAATGCATTATTGTCTCTTTCAAGAGCAATTAGTAATTCTTGTTTTTCATTTTGAAGATTATCAAATTCTGAAATAATATCATTGTAAACTTCAATTATCTGTTCTCTAAATCTTGCCAAATTTAAGAATGCGTACAAGGCTAGTTTAAATCTCTTTGGTTCTGGTTTAATAATATCCGTAACTGAGAAGTCACTCAATTTGCCAATCACCAATACTTTTTGACTATCAAAAAAGGCTTGAAATCAAACTTTAATTACTACTTACATCTTTTTAAATACTTCAATAAATTCCAATATATTAGTGTACACGTCCAAACTTTCTCCTTGTGTTGGTGCTTGAGAAATATATTCTCTATTTCGTTGTTTAATATCTTCAATGGTTTCATCAAGGAATTTTTCCATACAACTTCCAAAAACTTTTAATGCAAGGTCCGGATTAGGTTTGGTAAAATTTTCTTGGGTGAGAGTAGGCACCACACCCATCTCAACCAGACTTTTGATCAATGTTGAGAGAGAAATATTTGTTGGAATGGAATACTCTGGTGAGAGTTGTTGGCCGTTGATTTTCTTCATTTTTTTTGTTTGTGTTTAAATTTAAACAACAGACTTTTTGGCGGTAAACGTTGCACCTTTTCTCTGTAACGGCAATCAAACATCAAAGGTTGTCGCTTAATGAAATATCAAATTCCATTTAATTCTTTTTAAATGTTATGATAATCTTTATTGATATTTAACATTAATGCCTAGACATTTTACAGTTTGGTTGTCTTCTTTTCTATTTATGTACAGTAATATTTCAGCAGAGCCAATTGTAAAACATGGAAAGAATTTCATATAAATTACATGACGCTGACTTGGTTGTAAAGTTACTTCTTCAACTTTCAAACCAAGTAGCTCAGGATGATTAGTTGTTATAGTATATACTTGAGTACGTTGTTCAGTGTTAATAAAGGAAAGTTTAAGCTTTTCAGTTGAATTAGTTGGTATCACATGATTATATGTTTTGGATTTCTCTTGATGTTGAATATTAATTTTGAAAAAGTATTTGGCAAGTACTTTGGTTTGATTTCCACCATCTAAAATGTGGAATAAAGTGTACTTTGTTCCAGTTTCAACATTTAATTGAGGTTTGTATTCAACACGTAGTTCTTCTCCATTAATTTCACAATTAATTTCATCTGTAACAACTGATGAATCACATCTCACGTATGGGTTACTAGAGGCAAACTTTTTAGGTATTAAATACTCTGCATAATTTGTTTGTCCTATCAATGCATCTATTATAAACCTATAATTGGTTAAAAAACAATATTAAGGTGGTACTTACGTTTCAATTGGATTCACAGTTACTTTCCATATTTCAATTAATTTGTGGAAATATTGATCACCATATATCAACACAAATCCATTCGATGAAGATGAGTTTACCAGTGTTGTTTTGAGTTCAATACTTGTGAATGATGAATTCTATTGTTGCGTGTTGGGATAAAATGGTGATAATTTTAAAACTTACATTTGAATATGAGCTTGTTGATGCATAGACATTTCCAGTTGTCTTTACAAGAATATTAGAAATATTTTCTCTATTTTCGTGTCCAAAATCTTGCAGTGAATATCTCAATTTCTTTTTAAAAGGCACTCTTGAGGTTAGGCTTTCAACTGGATGATTAAACTCCAAGTTCTAAAAATCATTATCAATTTGATGACACAATATTAAAAAAACCTACCTGACTAAAGGAAAAGTTTCTTGGTACAACTCTTATTTTACAAACATGCAGTATTGATCCAGTGCTATTTTTGATTAAAACTTTGATTTCCTCATTATTACTATCTTCATACAGTTCCGAAAATGATTGGTACTTGAATGGTATTCTTAATTGGGCTCCACTTTTCATGGCGAATCTATAAACAAAATTTCCTTGACTTTGCAGTTGCATACAATTCCATTCTTGATGAAATCTACTTAATTCCATTCTTTCTTCTTCCGAATGAACTACTGATAAATTAAGAGATTTAGATTGCTCAATATCTATCGTAAAAGCATGATCCTTGGAGTACATATTCTTGAAAGTTAGCTCAAAAAATGATAAGTCACCAAATGAAGCATAAATAACTCTAAAGGAGGTCATCATATCTTCTACTTGATGTAAAATAATATTTGATTTCTCTTTCTTTCTATAATCCATAATACTCATCATTTTCTGTTTGCAAAAGTCTCTTAATTCTTCGTTTGTAAATAACTCCAGATCCTTATTTGTTGGTTCTTTAAGGCTTGTAAGGAAATTATATTGTTCATATAAACTTTGAACTGGTCCTTCTATTTTCTTTTTTGATTGCTCATACTTTTGCTTGGCCTTTACAAATTTGTTTTGTTGAGATTCGGCAACTTTACCAACATTGACTGTTGAAACGAATATTTTTCCTAGATGTTTGCCTTTGATTACATCAGTGAATCCTTCATCGTTTATCAAACCTTCCATAGCTTCGACCACATCATACTCTTTAGTGTATTTTACACTTGTTTCAGAGTTATTTCTTATAAAAAGGTTCATTGGTATTCTGATAACGCCAAACTTGAATCTGGTTTCAGCATCAAAAATATCCACAAACAAGCTATCATGTTCAAGATAGGAAAGAAAATTATGATACTCTTCTTCAGTTACTGAGCTAGGATCAAGTGTAAATTTCAACTGCAACCCATAATTACCACTGAAAGCATCTTTATCTTTCAGCGATAAAACGTAGATTTCTTCCTCCTCGAATGATGCAGGTTCAATAAGAAATAGAGGGGTTTTGCTTGTGTCTGTTGGACTAAATGTGAAAACCTTGAACCTAAAGTACATTGAACTTGGAAAGTTTACATCTTTGAAGAGTTAATTGAATTGTTGAATACTACTACTTACTAGTTTTTGGTGAAAAAGAAAGAAAATTAAAGTATAGGTTGTGAGACAACAGTTTTGCAGACTCATCTACAGCTGTTTCCTTTCCATCTTGCACCAGCTTTCTTCCATGCATATCTTCAGCTGTGTTGAACTTTAAACTGTTCATATGGTTCTTAATTTCTTTTGTTAAATCTCTTGATCTTCCCAATTCAATCATTTCATCTTTGTGATAGTTTGATGTTGGCATTGCTAGATGGTCCAAATCAGATCCTGGTGTGCTCAACTGTTCCAAAACATAGTCGTGATATTCCTTTCTTGTTTTGGGCGTATGTGGAGGCTCTTCCTCTTGTATTTCTTGAACTTGTGGCAGTACTTCTGGTTCATCAGCTGGCTGCTCCTCAACTGCAACATCTTCATAAGTAATTTCAGGAGTTGCAATAGGTTGTTCTTCTTGCTGATCTACAGCCACATCCTCCGTTTCTTCCTCCTGGTTTGGTTCCTCTTCCTCTGGTTCTTCCTGAATAACTTCTCTTATTGGAGGTGTTTTTGGTGGTGGTTGATGTTCTGGTACCTTAATTTGTTCCTCTATTTGCTGCTGTTTTTGTGGAGGCTTAGTTTTTTCAGCCGATAATGGTTTTTCATTTTCAGCTCCAGTTTCAAAATTGAATTTTATCATGAATGGATCTGGTCTATCCGAGATGGTTGTTGGTATTTTGAAGATTGGTTTACCAGAGAAACTCAAACCTGCAGCAGTGTATAATTCTTGTTCAATGGAACCACTTTTAGCAGCTGTTGGAAAGAATGCAAAATTTCCAACAACAACAGAATACATTGTAAAATCAATTTCAGGAATTGTTTTCTTGTTCTTATTACTTCCAATTAACTTATCCATAAAGGATCTCTTAAATTCTCCTAGAGGGAGTGGTATTTCAAATACGTATTGAATTTCGAATAGTATTCCACACAAATCCAATGGCAAGAAGTTTAAAGAAAAGTTATTATCCAATACAAGAGTTGACAACTCTCCAGTTTCTTGATCCTTAACTGGAACCAATGTTGATTCTGAAGGTCCTTGGAAATAGGTGAAAGTGTTATGACTTCCTATGCTTACTATTCTTTTTGAGATTATAACATCCCTATCAGGATTAATATACTCTCCATGTTCTTTTTTTCTTTGATCTTTCATGTAGGTCAATAACTTTTGCTCAAATTGTTTTGGTAATTTGATGGAAATCCCACTTAACCTCAATTGAACTGTTTCTGATAAAACAGGTTTTACCAAATCGCACAAGTGCTTATTGTGATTAAATCTAATGCCAGGTATGAAGTCTTTTTGAGAAACAATATCGTTTGGTCGGAAAAATGACCAGCATCCTGTGTCTTTGAGAAGAGGATGCCTAAATAGTGAAAAGAATATCTTAGTTCCTAGTTTTTTGTTGAGTTGATCTTCGATTGGCTCTTGTAATTGTTGTAATATTCTTGGAGTCCCTTCATAAAAAGAACCCTCCCGAGATACATTAAAGTTTTCGTCATTAACATAATCTGAGAGTTTAGGTAAATGCTCAATCGTTTTTCCATATTTAGTTTCTTTAAAAACTCTCATAATAGTCCAACCAGCTCCAAATTCATGTACTACATGAGTTTTATGCTTTAAAACACATACTAGTTCTACTACCATCACAACAAATTCATCCACAATATTACTATAGAAAAATAATGGTGTTTCGAACTCGATTGTTTCTTGAATTCTATTTTGATCCTTCTTAATTTGTTTTACATAATTTCTTCCTGTTATTGGTCCTTTAAATGTCCTGCTGACAAAGCATTTTGATTGAGTGTGATAAAGAGTTGCTGAAAGTCTGTATTCCACTGTTATTATTGATTCTCCACCAAACTTATTTAATTCCTCTAATGGTATTACCACATTACTAATACTATGAGCAACCACACAATATGAGGTGTACTTTTTTAAGCATTTGACCTTATCTGCTTGTTGAATAAATGTATCCAAATCCATTTTCTTATTCGGATCATTAATATCATCCATAATCAAGAAAAAATCATCCTTATGTTTTAATGCCTTTCTTAGTTCGAATTTGGTTAAGAATCTATTTCTAAGTACTTGTTGTGATTCCACATCCTCCATGAAACTTTCCGATGAAGTATATTCCTCATCAGTGTATTCTTTTAAAAAACCGTTAATTCTTATTATTACCACACTAAACAACCTACCTTCATCATCGTCATCATCATCCTCTAAATTGTATTTCAGCTCCTTTGAGGCTTGTGCTGTTGTATGAGAGGGCATTTTTTTCCTTATTAAAATATAGAGGCTAGGACAAATCCTAATAGAAAATCTGCTTGGTTGTATTTCGAAAGTCTAGAAATTTGTAGAGAGAATATAATCTAATAATAATAATTCATCATTAAAATAATAGAAAACTAGAGGGGAAATGCATTGAAAACATTGAGAGCGGGTTTACTTATTTGATCCACTATTACTTCTCTTTCTAGCTGCATTTCTCTGACCAGATGGAGGTAGAAAAACTTTATATTCCTTATCAAAACCACTTTGAACGAGCCATTCTCTGAACTTTCTATTCATATAATCCATCATTTTGTTTTGAATTAATTGATGTTGTTGATTCTGAAACTGAGCTTGCTGTTGTAAGTTTAGGGTAGAGTCAAGTCCATGTGTTATCATTAACTTGTTAGCTATCTGATTGGAATTTTGTTTAATGTGATCAAATAAATTAGCAATAGTTTTCGTTCGATTCTGAATTTCTGTTTGATATTCTTTTGGGAGTGGACTTGGAATTTTTGTTAATATTTCTGCAATGGTTAAAACTCCACTTCCATTGGTACCTGGATTTTTACTCTTTCCTGAACTTTTGGCATTATAATTCTCAAATGGAATAAAGTGAAGATGGAAATGAGATGGTTCCATAATTGAAAAACATGAAGTGGTTGTTGCCACTGTTGGGTGATGAGGACGATGATGATTATCACTTCCCCTGGGAGAGGTTGGATTTTTAGATTTCATGTGTGAGGGAGACATGTTAAAGGAATGAGAATTTGATGATCCATGAGGTGATGATGGAGATTTTTCAAAACTTTTAGGTGTTCCAAAACTTGGTGGTGAAGGTGGAGGTGTTGTACTGATTGAAAGTGAATCAGTTTGCATTAAATTAGATGAAGGTGAAGCATGTTGATGGGAACCATGTGGTAATTGATGAAGTGCATCCAAGTCAACCACAAAGGGCTGTGAAAAATAATTAAGGGTTGGATCAATATTACAATCGTGAAGTGAAAGTTGTCTCGTTAATTCTGTATAGGTAGTATTATAGGGAGCGAATTGAATATTCCTATTTGATGTGAATACAAGGGGTCTATTATTACAACATAAATAAAATTGGCAATCTGTACAGTAGGATATTTTGATAGCATTGGTTAGGCAAATAATATTAACATTTGAACAATTCTACATTTTAACAACATGTAATAATAATTTTCATTATGTGTCATTGAAATAAATGCATTTAAATAAATATTAATATTTGAAAATAACTTACTGATACATGAAGCATTCCTCGAATAACTCCAAAAACTAATGTACAATCTTTACAATTTTTTACACAAATGGTTTGTAAATGATTTTGGAGAATGCAAATGTATGAATGTTCGCCCACATTTGAAATTTCAAAGAATGTATCCATATTTGATGATTCATGATTATAGAAAACATAATTTGAAGTAATATTACGAATTGTAATATGATGAGGAAAATTACTTCTATCCAAATTATCCAAAATGTAATTCCTAATAACTCCCAACTCTACATATTCTGGAGCATTGACATGAGCAATATCTTCCTCTTCAAAATTAAATCTGGAATCATCATCAATCATTTCACTATCATGACGTACCATGAGAGAAAGTTCTGGATCTAACATTCTCTCATCAATTATTTTTTGTTTCTTCTTTTCTAAAGAAGAAAATGATGATTTAAATATTTGTTTGTGAGAAAGTGATGGACTTTTACACCAAAAAGGAAAAGCTTTTGATAAATTCATTGATTTAAAATCCTTTTCCTCACATAAAAATACAGACATATGATTAACTTGTGTAGAATTGAGAACACTATCATTATCAGAAACTAATTTCAGTAAATCATCAAGACAAGTTCTAAAAATTAAATAAATATCCAATTGATTATCTTTAAATCCAGTTTCAGTATTAACATGTTTTGGTGACAAGTACTTTTCAAAAGCAAACATTTGAAAATAAACATAAAGAAAGAATGGTTCCAATTTTACAGCATTTTCATTTGGTAATGAAAATTCTCTATAATTTGATTGAAAAAGATGAAATAATGATTGTGAAATATCCTTTGTAAATTTCAATTTCTTGTAACTAATTAACATCCATTCCTTGATTCTAATTAAAATATTAGTACAACCAACTCCATCACTGTAAACACATACCTAATAACTGATGATTGAATAAGTTTTTGTCTCAATATTTGTTGAAATGTTGAAAACATGAAGGAACAATAACAATAATTATGACTATCAAGGAAGGGTAAAAAGCTTTGGAGAATATTCTCCTCCGAATATCTAAATTTTAATGTATTTTGCATATTACTATTATTAATTACAATTATAATGTTGATATAAATAATTATTAATGTTGTTGTTGTTATAAATTTGTTAAATATATGTCCACAATGATTACATAATAAAATAATATACAAATAAATGGGACGATTTTGACAAAGGCTCACACAACGCAATGATGATGATAACTTTGAAAAAGGCTGAGAAAAGTTCTACCACCAGAATGTGCTGTGCTATTGTTGTGTTGTATTTTTTGTCTAATTTGTTATCCACCGTCATCATGTTGATGTTGACGATGAGCACATGTAAATGTTCATCAAATTACAGTTTTCAAATCTCAACTAAGCAGCACTATTGCTGCAGTAGTAATAACATTATTACTGTATTGTTACGGAACATTTGGATACTTAATACGTTGGAAAGAGAAACGTTGTAATAGTCGTTGGATTACCCCAATCAAATTATCATAATAATAAAGCGAACAACGGATATTTCTATCTTATATTACATTTATGATTACAATCTTGTCGAATTGGAATGCATAAAACTTATTGGACTTTAAATTTACTTTTGACTCATCAAGTCCAAGTGAATATTTTCCAATTTTGTTAACATTTCCTCTCTCATATCTTTGGATATGAATTTCATTTCAACTTCAATGGCTGGTGGAGTTGTTCTTGATTGTTCTTCATCTTCCAAAGTCATTGATAAACCATCCTTATCTAAATCTGCTGCCTTTCTTCTAATTCTTGCATGTTTCAAACTAAAGATGTAAACCTTCTTACCCTTCATTGCACCCTTCTTCTTTAAAATTGCATAATCAGATAAGATGTGAAATGACATTTGATAAGGTGCCTTATTCTTAGTTGCCTCAACTCTTCTCTTCTCATAAATGTAACCACGAACTTTCTTTTCAGTGTGGATCCATTTTCTTTCTGAATTTTCTGGAAGTGTAATTTGTAACTTTTCCAATAATTTTGAAGCCATGGCCATAAATTCAACACCTCTCTTGGCTTCATTGACGAAACCTGTAATATTTTGAACTTCACCAAGAGCTCTCTTTAAAATTTTATAACCTGTTGAATTGGTATTATCACTATTCTTCATTAAATCAGTTAAAAGAAGATTGTAACGTGGCAATCTTTGAACAGGTTGCTAAAATATATTTGTATAATATGTATATAGAGAGAGGGAGAGAAAGATAAATATTGATAAGAAAATAGTAAAAAAATAATGTTAAGAATTTTGAATAATTAAAAACTTACAATTAAGAATGAACCCAAGTCAGTTTGACGATATCCCAAATCAAGTAATTCATTTGAAACTTGATCTAAGAAATCAGCAAATGGTTTGTACTGCTTAATACATGAAAACATCATTGCTTCAGCTCTATCATAATTATTAACAAATGAACAATAGGTCTTGAATGAAGGAGCATATGATAAAACTAATTCACCAATACGATATTCCATATTTTGCATTAATTCATCTTCATTTTCAAAGAGTGCTTTAAGTTTTTGAAGGAATGCATAATTGACCTTATAAATCAAATCAATATCTTTGAAAATAACATTAAATTTGTCTTTTGGAATAATTTGCTTTGGAGCAGTGACAATTCGTTCCATGTAGAATTTTCTGGTAGCATCGAGAGCACCAACGTAACTGTCCTCAGTACTAAGCAATTCCTTAGAGATGGCCTTTCTCTTGATTAATCTCTTTTCCTTCTTCTTTTCTTCTTCTTCATCTTCCTTTTGCTTTTCTTTGAGTTCTTCAACTCTTTTGAGTTTTCTTTGAAGTCTTCTTTCTGCTTTGAGTTTTTCCTTTTCTTCGTTTTTCTTTCTCTCTGCTTCGTACTTTCTTCTGTCTTCCTCTTCTTCCTTTTCTTTGAGTTTTTCCAATTCAGCTTGTAATTCCAATTCTTCATCGAGAACTGAAGCTTGTAATTCATCATCAGAGTCAGTTTCTGGTTCCAATTCTTGAGGTTCGAGATCATCATCCTCTGGCTCCAACTCTTCTGGTTCCAATTCTCCTGGCTCCAACTCTTCTGGCTCCAATTCACCATCCAATTCTTCTGGTTCCAATTCAGATGCCTCCAAATCATCATCACCACCTGCAGTGGCAGTTCCAACTTTGGTTTCTTGATCTTCCTCATCAGAATCATCATCCTCTTCATCATCATAGTCATCCTCAGAATTGGTATCATCATCATCAGAATCATCATCAAAGCTTGCAAGTTTGAACATTTGATTATTATCAAAGTTAACATCATCTGCGAATGAATTATTATCTTCATCGAGAGCTTGTCTAATTTCATCTTCTGAAGCACCATTATTCTTCATGTTGAGAATTCTATCACAATTAGACAAGTCAATTAATTCAATCATATCTGTCATGTAACCCATAGCTCCATCAATGGCATCAATGTAATCTCTAATTTCATCAACCTTATATAAATTGTACAATGTTTCACATGCATTCTTTCTAATTTCATAATTTTGACGTGTGGCTTCCTTCATAATAACTCCTAATAAGGCATCTACAACACCTGTTTCTTTCAGTTCAATGGCAGAATTCTTTGTTCTTGCAAAATTGGAGAAGAGTTTCAAGAGAGCCATCAAGATTTGAATTTCAACTTGTCCAACCTCCTTAATATCCAACATTTGGAAGAAACGATCAAAAACTTGAGAACAAATTGAAGCAAAATTAATTTCACTCAATCTTTCCAATAATGTACTCGAATTACCAATATAAACACAAATAGCAACTGCATGGAGAACTAATTTAACACTCTCCTCTTGTTTGATAAATGAAATGAGAGTGGAGAGAACTTTTCTTGAAGCCAATTTAACAAGAACACCTGGATCTCTAACAAGATTAGAAAGTGCACCAGTTGCTGGTTCTAAAATTTGTAAATATTCACTTTCCATTAATGAAATTAGAATATCTGGAATTTCAGATTTAACAAATGCTGCAATATTTTCTTCAACTTCAGTTGCTTCCCATAACATTTCACATGCCTTCTTTTGTTTGGCAGGAGTATTTGATTTCAAATCTTGAATTGTACCTCCAATTGTATCTTCTTTCAAAAATGGATTTCCACCTTGTGTTCCAATCAAATTAGAAAGTCCTAAAATATGAAGAACTTTCATTGAACTTTGTGAAGCATCTGGAAAAGTAGAATCAAATGTTTGAATTAATTGTGCTAAAAGTGCAGGAACACCACTTTGAATCATAGTTTTATGATTGGCAGGTGAAAAGTGACATAAATATTGAAATAATTGAATGGCTGATTTTACAAGACGTTGAGTTCCAGCATTTTGAGCATTTTGTGCTTCTTTTTGAAGATTTTCATCTGATAAAATGTTTTTAATTGAAGAAATTCCACCCAAAGTTGTTCCTACAAGAAATGCCAATTCAGTATCATCTTTTTTAAATTCATTACATTACAATATTATAAAAACATGACATTACAATAATATTACATATTAATAATATTAATAATTAATAATATTGTTTAAAAGAGAATGAACATACTTCTAACAAGTAAACTCAACATTGAACAACAATTATCCAAAACAAATTCACCTTGTTTAACATTATAATGTGACATTAAAACAAGAGCCATTTCATGACATTTAAATCTAACAAGTGTTGATTTGTTTTCAGCTATTAGTAAAAATTCAAAATGTCAAAAGTCAAAAATGTCACATAAACCTACCATTCAAACAAGCATTTCTTAAAAAACCAGTAACATCTCTCACAGGTTGCATCATTGTTTTATGCTCATTTGCAGTTGTAATCATTTCATCAATAGTATCCGATCTCTTTACAATTTCCTGACATAATTTTGGATTTAAACTTGCAACTGTTGCTAAAATATTAACAATAATAAATTTAAAATTTAATTCCTTGTTTGCCAACATTAAACAAAGATCATCAAGTGCTTCTTCTGAAGATTTTAAAAGTTCATTTTGAAAATCTGCAGTTCTGGCTTCTCTTGTCATTTGAACAAGAATTGAATGTCCACTTGCTATATCTCCCTTCTTTTGAAATTCTAATACTTGTTGCAAACGTTCGGAAATTGATGACATTTTTTTTTTGTTTTGTTTTTACTTGTCAAACTTCATTTGAAAATAGTTGTCATCTTATTGAAAGAAGTGCACAACACCAAATATTACCCACATTTATTAGTGGATTTATCGGAACAAAACACAATTTTCCTTAATATCATATGGTAACATCTTAATTTTTTCTTCAACATAGTGAAACCTCCTTAAAGAAGGAACTTGGAAATCAATTTTTTTAACATTTACAATCAAAGCCTTTTTTCTGTCTGCTCAACAAATATCCAAATTGGTAATCAAAAAGCTTAAAAAAATATAGCAAAGTCTTCATAATAAAGGCTTGTGCAAAAATTGTTGTTGTCGTGATGAAGAATAGAGAAATTATTTCAATTCATATAGGACAAGCAGGTTCTCAAATCGGAAATACTTGTTGGGAATTATATTGTTTAGAACATGGTATTGATCATACGACAGGTATTCAATCTTTGCCACAAAGCTCATCTGATTATTCTATTGAACAGTATCAAAGATCATTCTTTTCCGAAACAAAAAATGGAAATTGGAAGGCAAGAGCTTTATTTGTTGATTTGGATTCTGAATGTATTGATAAGATCAGAATGAAAAACAACTCAATGTATGAGAGGGAAAGTTTGTTGAGCGGTAATGAGAATGCAGGCAATAATTTTGCTATTGGAAGAGGAGTTGGAGGAAGTTTAGTGTTAGAAAATTGTTTGGAAAGAATTAGGAATATGGTAGAAAAATGTGAAGCACTTGAGGGTTTCTTAATTACTTCATCACTGAATGGAGGAACTGGATCAGGTTTTAGAGATGCATTGCTGGAGAGACTGTCATCAGAGTTTGACAAGAAGCTTAAATTGAGTTTTGATGTTATAGGTGCACCAAGTTCTGTATCTTCATGTGTGGAGCCGTATAATGTTCTATTAGGATGGAATTCAATTCGTGAATATTCAGATGTTTCAGTAATATTGGAAAATGAAGCATTGATTGATATTTGTAAAAACAAGCTACAACTTGAGCAGCCAAAGATGACAGATTTGAACGAAATCATTGCCCATACAATATCATCGACAACAGTTCATTTGAGGAAGGAAGGTTGTTTACACGTATCCATTTCTGAAATCATGAACAATCTCATCCCGTACCCTAGTGTAAAATATCTAATCCATTCAATGAGTAATATTTTCCCAAAGAATCATGTTTTCAATGAACGACCAAATGTTACTGAGTTGACAAGGAGTTGCTTTTTAGACAAACATTCAGTGTTGGCGAATTGTAATTTACTGGAAGGTCAATACATGGCTTGTGTTGTTCTATATAAAGGAGACATAGTTCCAAAAGATGTTGGACATGCCATTTCCACTATTAAGACCTCAAGAGTAATTAGATTTGTTGATTGGTGTCCAACTGGATTCAGATGTGGAATTGACTATAGCCCACCATTGACCATTCCTGGAGGAAACATTTGCTCAATGGATAGAAATGCCCATGTTTTTGCCAACTCAACCAGTATTAGCCAAACATTTACCAGAATGGGGCAAAATTTTGATAAACTATTCTCTGAAAAGCCATTCCTTCACTGGTACCTTAAAGAAGGAGCACAAGAAGAAGAATTTACGCAATGCAGAGAGGAACTTAGAACCCTTCAACAAGACTATTTAGAAGTTGTACAGGTTGGTGAGGAAGAAATTTAGAAGAAAAAACAAGCATAATAATCATCGATTATTTCTCAATCCTTATCTAGAAAGTGTTCAAAAAATTAGTTTAACCTTTATCATATTATATAAATTAAATTCTTATCTCTATTGTTTAAACACTTTAGAAATTAATGCAATACTAATTGGTAAAGTGAAGGCAGCAATAGTTGGCCATAAACTGCTACTTTTAGATTTAGTTGTTGATTTCGATTCAGAAGTAGTAACACGAGTAGTTGGAAGAGTTTTACCAAACGAAAGTGTCTTTCCAGATTCAGCTTCTGTTAAGGCATGATCTAGACAGTCAATTAAGAATTGAGCATCTTCTACTGTGAGGCAGACTGGACCCTTAATTCTGAGAACATTTCTTAATGGACCACCTGAACCAACTAAAACTCCCAATTCTTTAGTTCTTTCCCAAATAAATTTGGTTTCATCTTGAGCTGGTGTAAGATCACCAGAGTGAGCATCTTTAACCAATTCAACTCCAAGGAAGAGACCTTTACCACGAACTTCACCAATCAATTTGTGATATTTCATGAGATTAGTAAGTCCATCCTTTAAATATGTTCCAACTTCCAGACTGTTTTGTTGTAAATTTTCTTGATCTATTACTTCAATAACTGATAATCCAATAGCACAACTAACTGGATTACCACCAAAAGTATTGAAATATTGAGAATTATTGAAAGCTTCAGCAATCTTTCTTGTTGTGACAACACAACCAAGTGGTTGACCGTTACCAAATGGTTTACCCATTGTAACAATATCAGGAACAACTTGATCATGTTCAAAAGCCCAGAAATGTGAACCAATACGTCCAAAACCAGTTTGAACTTCATCAGCAATACAGATACCACCACTACTCTTAACTTTTTCATAAACTTGTTGAAGATAACCAGGTGGGAAAACAAATTGACCACCAACACCTTGAATACTTTCGTGAATGAATGCAGCAATATCATGATCATTTTCTCCTTTGGCTCTCTTTTCATAAGCACCATCAATATCCTTGATATATTCAGAAACAGCTGTTTCCTTTTGATATGGACCTCTCATTAAATCTGGAACTCTAATATATTCCACATCCTTTGCATAATAATCCCAATCAGGACATTTGGCTGATGTACCAGTTGAAATTGAAGATGAAACACCTGTACATGTTCCTGTAGTTCCATGATATGAATTTTCAAGAGCAACAACTGTATTTCTCGATGTATAGACACGAGCCAAACGAATTGCCAAATCATTAGCTTCACTTCCAGAGTTTACAAAGAAGCAAACATTCAAATCTGAATCCTTTGGCATTTTGGATGTTAATTTATCGGCCAATTTAACAATCTTGTCATGTAAATAACGAGTATTCGAATTGATGCACATTAATTGTTCAGTAGCAGCTTTAGTAACATGTGGATGAGCATAACCAACTGTTATTCATCATTTCATCCGAATATATTGTAGCATATTTTAAATATTTTCATCATCATCATGCAATTATTATTATTATTATCAGTATCGGTGGATACCAGCATTCAAATAGGATATGCAATTTAATGAATATTTCACACAATAATAAGTAGTAGTAGTTAGATACATTCACACAATCACCAAATTAATATAAGTTGGCCAAGTTCAAAAAACGTTCCAATTTTTGAATATTCAAAAATTCATAATTTTGAACCATCATCACATGATTATCATAAAGATTAAAAGGTGAAATTAACCCAAATAGTACAATTATTACAGCAGCATCAGACAAGTAAGATTAAATTAGTACTCCTAGAATCAAAGGCTCCAACTAATTAACTACTTACCATGAGCAACATTTGCATAACAATCCAAATATTTCTTTCCACTCTCATCCCAAGCATATTGACGTTCTCCCTTGACCAACATGATTGGTTTCTGATAGAATGTATATTGTGCCTTGGCAAGGAATTTACTTCTATCTTGAATCACTTGATCCTTCGAGAGTGTATGAGTCAGTGGATTGTATGTTAATTCGGGTTGTTGTGTATTGTCGTATGAAGCCATTTTTCTTTTTTCGGATTTTGCTAGCTGTTTGTTGTGGATCGAGGAAGGATTTTGTTTTTGGATAATTTGGAGACGAGGATGTGATGCTATGGTGGTGGTGAAAGGAGAGAATAGGTAATATGGGTGATGATGATTTGCAATGTTGTAAGCATACTTTTGTTATTTAATAGGAAGGACTACAGAATTGGACCTTTTTAAATTTGTGTGTTGAATCAAATGTGGATGAAAATTGCAGTTGGCAATTAGAAACAGTAAATCTTCATTGTAAAATAGAGTTCAATCAATAGATAATAAATGGTTGCACCTTTTTCAATTGAGATTTGGTTTAATCTTTGTTATGGATTGGAGTGCCTTTTCAAAATGACTCTTTTCTATGAATTCATTTTGCATATTTTCTCTCAGACAAAGTATGGCAGCTTCACGACATAAATTATCCAAATCAGCTCCAGAAAATCCACTTGTTCTTTTGGCCATTTCATCGATACAGTTTTCAGAATCCTTAATTGGCATTCCATTTGTTTTGAGTAATAAAATCTCTATTCTAGATTCTTCATCTGGAAGAGGTAAATAAATATGTTGGTCAATTCTTCCAGGTCTTAGTACAGCACTGTCCAGTAGGTCTATTCTATTTGTTGCAGCGAGAATGAATATATTATCATTTTGAGCCATTTCATCATCAGCTAAACTAGTCTTTTTGTAATGTTGATGAACACCATCCATTTCAATAAGAAGTGTCGATAACATTTTATCACTACTTGAACCTCCACTCTCATCATTTCTACTCCTTGCTATTGAATCAAATTGATCAAAGAAAAGAATACACGGAGCACAATTTCTTGCTGTCACGAATAGTTGTTTGATAGCTCTACTGCTTTCACCTACAACCTTACTTAAAATATCTGGACATTGGACACTAATAAAATTTGCTTTGCATTCTCTTGCAATGCACATGGCTAGAGTGGATTTACCCACTCCATTAGGTCCATAAATTAGCATTCCTTTTGGTACTTGCACTCCAATATCAACATACTTATCATATCTCAGAAATGGATAAATAACTGATAATTTCACTTGGTCAATTATCTTATCAATACCAGCAAGATTCTCTGAGAAATTGTCTGTCAGTTCTGAATCTTCAGATGGTTTTTCTTGGTAATATGTTTTTGGTTTTGTTCGTGATATTGATTTTTTGAGTGAGTCAAAATTGAGTTTTCCAATCTCCATCTTTTCAATGTCGAGTAAGCTCTGTAATTTAACAAAATCTGCCCACACAAATCCTTGAGTATCAAGTTGACATGACTTGATATTTCCATCAGACTCGTTTAAATCAAACTTTTTCATCAAATATCTCAAGATAGACAATCGTTGGTTTGGAGATGGAACTTTCATCTCAATTTCCTTTTCCAGACGATTTACTCTAATTAATGAACCATCTATTCTATCAACATTACTTGTTATACCAATAATGATTGTTTTCATATTTGATTTTCTATTTTGCAGAGCCTGAATATCAAAAAAGTGTACCAACTCTGATATTAAACTTCTATCAATTCTTCCACTCTCATATCTACTATCACTCGTTAACATGTTATCGATATCATCGATAACTACAAGCTTGATGATTTCTTTTTTCATTTCTTTGCCATCAATTCTTGGAGCTGATAAAAGTAAACTCTTCAATGCATTTTCACTCTCTCCAAGACCACTCTGAAACATGTCAGTTGCTGATATGAATATCTTTTCAAAGTGTGTTTGTTTAACTAATTCAGATAACTTTTCCAATGTGTAATTCACCAAAAAGGTTTTCCCCACACCTCCTTCTCCTGTTATCAAAATATGTGACCTCTCGTTCAAAATATAATAAATAAGCTCGGCTATAACATCATGATAAATTGGAATATCTGGATTATTGGTAATCTTTTTAACAAGTTTTTCAAATGAAATATCTTGAAGGGAATCATCGTGTTCTATTGTAGTACCACACTCCTGTTGTTGCTCTTGATGTCTTTGAATGTTAAATTTTGTAGTGTTATTAATTTTAAAGATTGTCAACTCCTCGCTTGAGTTGAATCCAACAAATCTGAATCTAAATTTCAATTCCAAAATATTAAAAGTGTAAAATAAATTCGATTGATAACATAATTTAAATCTATCGGAATTCATTAATACTAAATCTTTCACTAGAGTTCTATTAGAAAGAATTGTATCAATAATTGGGGAATTATCCAATTTTTCTACAGAATGAAAAATCAATTTCAATTCATTAGCAACAAGAGCATCCTCTCTATTCACTTGCCCAGAAATAAAAACCAGCAATTGTTGATCACTAATATTTACATTATCATTCGGAAATGCTTTCACTATCCTATTCATAAATTCCTCATATAAATATTTAGAAATTTTGGCCTGCTTTGCAATGATATTCCTATCCAATTTAATCTTGGCATAAATTTTAATTTTCAATTTTTCTCCCGATGTTGAGGAAACATAATCCAAAGAAATTGTTGTATATTGGTCAATAATTAGTTTGTATTGGTTGAGTGTATCTTCATCCAACCACACAATACTCTCCTCGGAGGATAAACTTTTTTCTTCCTCTATTACAAAGGCTCTCTTGATGGCTCTTGCTTTTTCAGTCATTTTTTTATTCAACAAAATTTCACTGTTTTATTTGAATAATTTATTTACAACTTTAGGGTTTAAATGTGGAATAAAAAGAGATGGTTCGAATTATTGATAATGGTGATCAGAAGGGCTGCTATAGTCATCATTACCTGTTGTTGAATTAGCAGACTCAGAAAGGAGAATGGAAGAATTAGATGAGCTAGATGGTTTCTTGTTGATGGTGTCCAACAATTTAATGATAAGACCTTGTACTTCATTGTTATCACTGTTGGATCCAGAATCCCTCTGGTAATTGTTATTATTATTTCCACCACGATTGTAATTATTTGATCTATTATTGTTATTTCCACGACGATCATCATCTCTTCTATCATTTCTATTGCTGTTATTACCACCTCTATCATTTCTACTATTGTTATTTCTATTATTATTGTTATTGTATGAGGATCTATTGTCTCTATTTCCGTAATTTCCTCCTTGATTTGCAGGTCTATTGTTGTTGTAATTTTGAGAAGGTTGTTGAGGTGGATTATATCCGAAAGATAATCCTGGAATATTGAGAGAAGGTTGAGGAGTGCTTGTTGGAGGAACAACAGGATATTGCATTGAATATTGTTGGTAGACATTAGATACTGGAACAGGAGGTGGAGGAGCATTAAGAATAAACGAACAGATATCAGTAATCATTGTATCAGCGAAACCTAATATAATGTCAGAATATTATTTCAGATTTTGAAAAACTTACCTGGAGAAGTACCATCAGGCATAAGAGCCTTAAATGACACGATATTCCTAGCTATTTCATGTCTTGCCACTATGTAAATGACGAATCTTTCATTGGATACCAATTGAAGGAATTGTGGAGATGTAAAGAACAATTCCCCTTGATTGGTATTACGAATGTGAACGTTATGATAGATAAGACCTCCAGATTTAAGAGTTTGCATAACAAAGTTTGCAAATGGTTCCAAAGTTTGATCTGGAATATAGATTGGAACAGATGTGACACCAGAAGAATTAGTTGAATAAGGAGACGAAGTTGGCATCATTGTAGTAGAAGGCATTTGAAGAGGAGGTTGTGAATTTCGTGGTGGTGTTCTCTTTTGCTTCTTATTCTTATTGTCTCGGTCCCCTCTACTATAACGATCATTCTTAGAATCACCACTATTATTGAAATTACTACTATTATTACGAGATGGTGGTTGTTGGCGATCTCTACTATCGAGTTTTCTCTTATTACTATTCACATTCTTTTGCGAATTATTTGGACCTTTGGCCATTTGTACATCAATGCGTTTAGAACATAATTGTGTTCCAGAAAGAGTTGCAATAGCCTTTGAACAGGCTTGCTCGCTTTCGAATTGAATAAAAGCATAACCTGGATGAAGACGAATTTCATCCACAATCTTACCGCACTTTGAAAAGGCATCATATAGTTGTTCTTTGGTTGTTCCAAAGTCTAGATTGCCTGCGAAAATACGATGACGAAGTCCACTGGCAGAATCTACACTATCAGTATTATCATTATTAAATGTTCCTGAATGTTTGTGATTAACGGGTGATGATGGTTTATTATTACCATCAAAGCTTACGTTATTACTATTACTTGATGAATTATTAGCTTCTTCGTGGCTGCTCATGATTAATAATCGAAGCTTGCTCGTTAAACCTAGAAACAAAATGTTTTATTTTTTTAGAGATAAAATATTTTTTAGAAGTTTACAAAAATATTTCAATTTATTTTCTCAATCTACTCTTTTAATAAGGGAGTTCGATCCAAGAATCAAATTTCATCAGTGCAATATTGTTGAAAGTCACATATAATTGGCCAATTGTTTTTGAAACATTATTTCAAAGCAGAAACCAAAGATAATGGAATAATTATGATAAATATAATAAAACAAACTAGTGAAAATGTAACTGACAAGTAATATAACAAGGTGGCATAGATTTTTGCTCTCCTCGATTTGAATTTCACCAAATCTGTGCACCAATACATGACACAACATGGCACCGATGAAAACATCATGAAAGGTGGTATTAAACATAGACAACAACTAATTAACAATGAAAAAAAGAATAACATTCTAGCTCTCTGATCTTCCTTAAATGAATAGGAGAAGGATGGTGAGTAGGGTTCAATTTTCTTATTAATTGGCAATTCATCTTGTCCATCTATTGAAATTGGTTGATCATTATTGTAATAATAATCTTTCAAATAATTGTATGTAATTTCCTCTTCCAATATGATATCACTTCTATTACCAAAAATAGTTCTATCACTGAGTGCAATTAAATTCGATTCCAAATCAATAATTCTCTGAATAGTTGTGTTTTTAAATGAATGAATTCTTCTATTTGATGTTACTGTATTCGAATTAACTATTGAATTTACAACTGCATGAGCAACTTGTTGTGGAATTGATGGATTACTCATGGATGGACTCGATTCTTCCACTCCCAATTCTACAATTTTAGTACTACTATTATTTACAATATTTCCACTACTTCCTGTTGCACCTATTGTTGCTGTTATTATTGGAGGATTTTTCCTTTCCGATAATATTATTGAATTTACAATAATGGAATTTCCATTTGTTGGTGGTGGTTGACTCGAATTAATTGGTGCTCCATTATTATTACTATTATTTGTTGCTGTTGTTGTATTATTTGTCATTGATTGTTGTTGTTGATGTATTGAATTTGTTTCATCAATGAGAGAAACAAGTGTTGTTGCAGCTTTAAATGTAGTTTCACTTTTAGAGTGAGGAATGGGTGATGAATTTGCAGATAATGTATTGTTGTTGTTGGAGGAGGAGGGTTGTTGTTCGTGTTCAGCACTGGAGCGTTTCGGAAGAGAGGAAGGTGAAACTGGTTTCATCATTTTTTTATAATATTAATTTGATAAGTGACAATTTAAATGTATTTACAATATTGGATGATATTCAAAAACAGTTCTAGTCAGTTTCATTTTCATTGAGTGGATTATTGATATCTCTTGTTCTATTTTCAATTCTTGAAATAATATTTCCAATTTTAGGTAATTCTTCTTTTAGAATGTGAACAAAATTATTACGATGGTATTTTTCATTTGCATTTACAAGAATACCATCTGCATTATCGTAAGTATATGATTTCAGCCAATTTTCACCATCCAATCCACCTTCAATTAGATAATTAGTTGTCACCAATTTGTAATACTTGTCATCCTGAATTGGTTCTCCATTAATAGTAAATGAAACAATTCTATTTCCTGGACTCTTCTTTCTATCATATTCAATTTTAACAGTTCTAGATACTTGTGGATATAATCCTGATCCTAGTGTTCCTAAACTATCAATTGGAGCTAAACTCAATTCCACTATTTTTTTGATATACTTTCCCTTAATGGAAATATTAATAATTTCATTAATTAAAGGTAATTCTCTCATTATATCAATAACCTTAATATGATATCCAACAGCATAGGTCTTGTCTGCTCTTATACCGCCTCCATTGAATAAAACCATGTCACAATCAAAACAATCTTGTAATACATCACATAAAAAGTTACCAAATGTTGATTCTCTACTTCGACAAATATTGGTAGAAGAACTTAATGGAGTTTCACAAATTGCCAAAACATTGTAGGCATCCTGTGGAATTTGTGAATTTAAGTAATCAATCATATTCCTCATACGAATATCTGATTCATCATCGTGTGGAAGTTCAACTTCATTGGATTCACGATTTTGTACCAAACCAACAGAGTCTACATAAATTGTGGAATCAAATTGATTATTCTTTTGCATGGCTGATGAGGAGTCAGTCTTTTCAACAACTAGACTCATCTTGGCAACATATTTTGCATCTGAACCTGATTTTACAATAAGAGTGTTATTCGTATTGGAAATCTCAATATAAGGAAAGTGAGTATGTCCTACAATTTAAAGTTATTGAAATAAATTGAAATAGTTACCTCCCAAAATTGCATTTACTTCAAAAGTTAGTGAATTGAAATTTGTAAATAAACTTACAATATTTAATCTTACTCAATTCCATATCTTGCTCCATATCTAAATGAGATATACAAATAATCAAATCACACTTGTCAATGTGCTTCAATTCAAAAACCATCTTTTTTGCAACATCCAAATAAGGATGAATCACAATTTTATCTAAATCATTCTTCAATCCACCTGTTAAATGCTTGGTTGCTTCAGTCAGCACTCCAAAAAATCCAACTATGAAATGTTATATTAATTAAACACTATAATTATTACAATACCTTTCAAATTGGTTCCATTAATTGCATAATCCATAATATGCTTTCTATGAAAGATGACATTCTTTGGTGGTTCAACATCTTGACAATTACATCCAACTTCACACAATGTTTTTAATTTTGGATCCAATAATTCAACATTTGAACAGACCCATTTAAATCTAGATTGTCTCACTCTTTCAATTAAAACATCCAATCCATAATCAAAATCATGATTACCAATAGTACACAAATCAATCTCCAAAATATTAAACAAATCTACCATATGCTTTCCCTTATAAGAATTTGATAATAATCCAGCAGATAAGAAATCACCATTGACAGTAACAATGGTTGGATGTCCCTTAGCCTTCTCCTCATTACGAAGTTTGTTTATAATTCTATTCAATCCAATAAATCCACCAACTCCATCCTCCTGTGATTCATTAATTTCATAAACATCATTTATCATGAGAATTGTAATTGGTTTCACAACTTTTCCCTTTTGATAGTGATGAGAGAGTGAGGTATGAAAAGATGACACTGATGATGAATTAATCATCATCATACAATTATTATTACTTTTAATACTACCATTGGAATAATTGTTAAAGAGTGAAAATGGTGGAATAAATCTCGTCATGATCCAATTTCCAATGATTGCCTTCCTATGAAATGTGCAATTATTTACTGTTTGTTTAATGATTTCTCGTTTGTACATTTTTTTAATTGATTGGCAAAATTCATGACCAAATCTTTGGAATTGTTGAACAATTAGTGGCGAAATCATTCTGTTAAACATCCGATTATTACAGAGATGATTGAATTAAATTGATAGAACAGGAATGAAAATAACCAAAGGTTTTATTGTTTGAAAGAGATTGTTGGGGAAGAGAAATTGTTGGGGGAAAATGTTAGTGGGAGGTGTTGATGAAATGATGAAAAAGTCTGGATTTAAAAACCAGCAGCACGAAGGTATAATCTCAAAATTCTAGAGTGGTTACCCTTGACTTCCAAAATGTTACCGGCTCTCAAGACTACTTCTTCACCAGTAATTTTAGCAATATCTTCTTGTAATTTGGCAACATCTCCTTTAACTTTACGAATGACAGTCAATGTTTTTGTTCTTCCGTTCCTATTATTATTTTAATAAATTATTCAATTTAATATTATCATTCATATTATATCATTGTTGTTGTTACAAGTTAAATATTATTATTATCAAATATAATCAAAAGAAGAATTCTAGAATTCATGTAAAAAACTCTACTACATACTTATAATCCAAATAAATAGGGAGAGAACCAAATTGAGAGCGTGAGATGTGGAATGGCAATTCTTCAGTTCCCTTCAAAGGTAAATGGAAAACCGATGATGATGGAAGTTTATCTTTAACATCAACTTGTTCTTGAATAATAGTATTAACAAAATCTTGTTGTAATTTAGCATTCAATGGTTGTTTAGTTAAGTGTTTCATGAGAATAAAGTTTGGTGTGGCTCTACTGCTAACAGCCTTAGAGAGGGTAGGGATTGTTCTGAGAGCGTGGAATGGCATTTTTTTTATTTTTTCATTTTTATTAAATTTTATTATATATCTTCATCACATTATTTTCTTCGTGATGAATTTTAATATGAATATTTTCTTCTATCGGAATTAAAATTCATCACAATATGATGGTTTTGAGGTCTTCTTTGAGCAAATTGGGTTTGATTTGAATTGTTTAATAATTATTCTACTCTTTCCTCAATTGTTGAAATCTCTGCTAATAACTCATTGACCTGAAGAGTAGTTGTAAACCACACCAAATAAATTAACACTGTATTCTGATCGCAAGTATTATTATTTCGAAATACATGTAAGATGGCTCAATTTCAGGTATGTATTACATTTAGGGTTATTAATCTCACTGAAAACATTCATAATTGAAGTTTGAGAGTTTGTTCATTCTCAAACACAACACTCTCTAAATTGCCAAACAAGTACTGCCATACCTTTATCAAGAATCGTGCAAATTTGCTAATCTTGTATCAAGAGAATGAGAGTCCAATTAATCTCAGCCACAGATTTTATACTTCTCCTTTTAGTAATTGAACATTCCTTAATTTGCACATTGACCCTCAATATTGTCTTCTCAATAAAGTGAGAATCTGTAACCGATACAACAACAGAACTAATTTGAATCATTCTCCTACAGTTCGGTTCTCCATTACTAGAGCGAGATCATTTAGTCGAGCACACAGGAGGAGAGGACTAGGTGCATGGTTGCACATCAACACACCGTAACACCATCCTCTTCCTCAACGTCCTTCAGAGGAGGGGTAGAGCGAGAAGGCCACACTTTTCCATGATGAATATATAATTCTCAAACATGTTATAAAAAAGGCCACATTTCACTCTCCTTTTAAGAAAATGGGCTCCAACACTTCAACGACACTTTCTGAAGCTGGTACAGGTACCTCTTCCAATTCATCATCACTACAAAATCTTCTTAATCATCATCGAAAAAGTAGTTCTTCTCTTCCTCAATACGAAGGAAATCATTTAAAAAGACAATCGAGTTATAAATCCAAATCACCTGATAATGGAGAAGAAGATATTGCAAGGGAAGGATCTATTCTAGTGGATAAACAACCAACTATAGTGGGATTTGTTGGAGAATTAATTGGAACAGCAACAAACAATAAGAAATCAAACCAATCAAAGAAAGACAAGACAATTGCTCCTTCTTCTGAGAATTTGGCAGATGATGAAATCAAACCAATCTACTCTGCCACTTCCTTCACAAAGGGAAGCGCCTCAGAAAGAGCAAGAAACAAGTCCAATTCATCCTCACTGAGAGAGAGTCTCACATCCAGCACATCATCATCTTCATCCACACTCTCATCCTCCAACTCATTGACCACTATCAGCTCATCAACATATCCAATTTCAGGCACCAAAAGCTTTAAAATTGCACGAATGAATTCACTCAGAGGCAATATCATTCTTAATAACACGCCACAATCTGGCAACAACTATCAAGCATGGAATACTGACACAATCTGCTGGGAAGAATATAAAAGAAGAACCATTGCTCAACAACAAAATCAAAAGAGAAGAAATGAAGCAATCACATCTCTTTCCATGTCAACACCAGCCACAACAACCACTTACAATATTTCTTCACAAGAACAACTAATGATGAGAAATTCTCCTCAAAGAACAATACCTGTAAAGAGAGGAGTTAATAACAACACATCTATTAATACCTCACCAATGACATTCAAGAGGCAAGCAATGCAAGTAACAACAATTACTAATAGAGTGGGAATGGAAGTGGAATCATCACCATTGTCAAACTTTTTGAAGAATTTATCGGCTGCTCCTTCTGTGGTTACTACTAGTTCTGCTGCTATGAATAATAGGTAGATGGATATTATGAAATATCCTTATTTTGGAAAGGGGATAACGAAAAGAAAATCGAATTGTAATTGAAATTTTCGCAATTTTAAGAAAATTTCATAATAATTGAAAAAATGTTTATTCATCAATGTTGATCTAGTAGATCTTCATTGGCAATGAAACAACATTAGAAAACTAATAAAACAATATAAAACATTTAATATTCCATTTTAAGGTTTATAAAGTCATGGGTTTATATCTGGACATTAGAAAACAAAATGAAAAAAAATGCAAAAACTTTATCACTTGAGAAACATCATCCTTGGCTCAATACTCGGAGTTACAATATTGATGGGCATATTTTCTGTTATGTTTGGAATGGCCTCAATATTCTATCAAGATAAATATGAATTTAATGAGGAAAGATTATGTACAGTGATAGATCCGAGAGTGGAGTGTTATCGTCATTGTACAACAGGAGCTGTTGGAGAGGAGAATTGTCTTGTTTATTGTAAAGCAATTGTGAGGGTACATCCCGATGATGATGTTGGATATTGTTTGGATGAGCCTGAATGTGTTCATAAATCTACTCAGCCTAGAAATAGGACAACTTTGGAATTTACTGAACATGATTCATTCTATGAGTATGATATTCACTCGAATGTAACGTGCTACTTGAATGAGCATCAGACAAATGCTGCCTCTTATCAAATTCATTCAAGTTTCAAATCGATTGCTAATTTTGTTGCTATTGGACTTGGTTTGATTTCATTGGTATTTTTGGCTGTGTTTGTGATTGGTTTCATTTCTACATTTATTCATAGAATTTTGCCTCATCATTGGCAATTTAAGGCACATCATCAACATCACGATGAAGACGAGGATAACAAGAATTTCCTTTAAATTTTCTTAATTGATTCAAATTGTCAGAGTTCAGATCACATTAACAAATGAGTAATCTCAAAAAAGCACTTTAAATGAGGTGATAACAGATTTAGCTCATGTGAAATACAAGAATAAAGAGAATATAATAATAATTTATTCCAAAACCAAACTAATTCCTCTTTCAGAACAAACTTTGTGTAAACTATCAATTTCTTTCCATCCAATGAGAACCAATTTCTTTAAGGAAGGTGTGTTGTTCTTATTCTTCAACCAATCTATCAAAACATTAACGCCAATAGATTGAGGAGATCCACTCAATGTCAAACACTTGATCTTTTTGTTATTTCTCAAATTCTGAATAATTAATGAAAATTCTATCGAGTCAATAAATTGGTCACATCCTGTGAAATTCAAACTGGCTGGTGTCTTTTTGATTGCTTTCAAAAAGTCTTCCTTTTGATCATCTTCAATAATATATGAACCAGCTTGTTTGAAATATTGTATCAATTCAAATGTTTCATCAGTTGTAATAACTCCCAAATCATCAATAAGATCTTCGAAAATATCAGATGCAGAATATAATAATTCATTATCTGCTGCTGACAATCTTGGAGTAACAAATGTTGAGTTTGGAGGAGAGTTCACTTTTGGTGTGGTTGGACTTCTTGGAGGACCTGTGCTGCTAATAAATGATCTTCTGTGTCTTCTAGGAGAGCTTGTATTTGCACTATTGAAAACTGTATCTGCTACCTTATTTGTAAAGTTATTTGGATCAAAGTGGAATCTTGAGCTTCTTGGAGTTGGAGATAATAATCTGGCTGACATTGGTGGCTCATCATTATTTCCTCTTCTCGAAAGAGCAGAGAAGAAGATTTCCTTAGTAATGGTAGGGACTGATTCATTGTGATTTTTCTTCACATCTTGAGTATTGATGGTGGAAGGAATTTCCACTTCCTTGTTCATTTGTTGTTGAGGAGTATTTGGATTTGAATTGACAATTGCTGCACGAAGTTTTGAATCTGAAAGTTTAAAGTTATTGATTGGACTTGGATGTTGATACATTCTTTCAACACTGGTTGGAGTTGATGGACTGCTGTATCCTTCTGATTTGTCAATCATGGCAATCTTTTCCTTAAATCTATTCAGTTCATCCTTATTGTTTCCTGAGGCTGATAGTGGTGTGGCAACAGTAGTTGTGTTTTCACCAGTAGAGAATTTGAGTTTTCCATTCTTTTCCAACTCTTCAAAGAAGAGTTTTAACATGGCATAGAGTGATTTGGTGTTTCCCTTTTCAATTTCATCGTGAATATAGGAAAATCTTTGGGTATTCTTTGCAATTTTGTGAACAGCTTGAATAAAAGCTTGATGGTTATCATTCTTTTGGAATTTGTTTGGATTATTCTTATATTTGATAACCTTTCCATAGTATTTCTCCACAATCATGCAAAGTACAGTTCCGTCATCTATAATTTTGTGCAATGAATGGCCTTCATCAGGTCTATCTGTAATTTGAAGAATAGTTTCCTTGAAATACTTTTCTTCATCCTCTTCTAACATCTTTTGAGAACTTGTAGCTTTTTGATAGTAGTGTGTTCTACTAGACATCATTCCTTCAATATTTGCTTGCCTATCTGTAATGGATCCGTCAGAATTTTCTGAAGGAGTACTTGGTGGAATAATTGGAGCCTTAGAGAAGGACATGCTTCCAAAGCTTTTTGTTCTGGCACTCAACATTGGTCGAGATGGAGATTCCAATGGAAGGAAGATTGAGTGTGATTGAAGTTTTTTCAAGGATTGAGTTCTAATTTCAGGCTGGGCTGCACATTTAACAGAAAACTCAAAAAGTAGTGCCAAATTACTGACAATACAGTTTCTTTCCTTTACAGAGCTATGTTCTGGTTCAGTTGATGCCTTTAGTAGATAGTCATGTTCAAATACAGTTGAGATACCAACATTTTTACAGAAATTGGTGTAAAGAGAAACATTTCCAATAGCAGCTTGGTTATTTGTCATACCTTCAACATATTTCTTACATGGTTCAATCTCAGGGAACAAAGTATTAGCATATTTGCACAAAATTACTCCGTCCAATAAATTCTTGAAAAGTGAAATAGATGTGTCATATTCATTTCCAGCTAATTTCAGAAGCCATTTTGAAAGAGCTTTCTCTGCGTATTCAAGTTCTTGACTGCGGAAATCTTCCTTACTTTCAGCATTGAGCTTCTTTCCTGTTCTTAATAAACTAAAAATCGATTTTCCTCTCATCTTTTCATAAGTTTCTTCGCTAAACTCAAAGCCAGCTTCTTCCATCAACTTCATAAACTTCCAAGTTGGATCATGTTCCTTTGGTGGCAATTCTTTCTTTGGGGTTTTTGGAGTTTGTGGAGGTTCTTCAGTCTTGACAGGTGGTGGTTTGACTTTTAATAGAGCTAACTTTTTAGTCAATTCTTCTACTCTTCTCAAATGGGAGTTCATCTTTCCTTCATAGATATTTCCAAGTGATGTACTCATTTCATTCAATTTCTCTATTACTAGATTTTCAGTGTTAGACTGGAATGTAGAAACAAAAGTATTGAAAAATGAGTAATCGAGAGGGAAAAGTTCTTTCAACTCAATGTACTTTTTCTTTACATCACTTAATTGAGAATGAACATTTTGGATAGACTTGGTAAGATCTAGGATTTTTTGCTGGTATTCCTTGGTGATTTCTTCTTTCTCATTTTGAAGTGTTTGATTAGAAGTTTGGAGAGCTTCAATATCTTGCTTTAGTTTCAGCTCTCGTGTTTTCAAATTTTTGATCTCATTATCGAGCTGGTTGTTATCTGAATCTATGCGATTTTTAAGTTGTTCAACCTCTTCATTCTTGGCACTCAGTTCATTTTCAAGTTTTTCGTTGGTGGACTTTTCTTTTTCTAAGGCAGAGCTAGTTTGATCAACCAGTTTTTCAGCTTCTGCAAATTTCTGCTTTAAGTCTTTGATAGATAGATCAAGTTTGTGTGATTTTTCTTCTTGTCTATTTTTTTCTTCTTTCACTAGATCGAGTTGCTCCTTGTATGAGTTTTCTATATTCTTGGCTTGTTCGACTAATAGCTGATTTGTTTTGTTAAGAGCATCGATTTCAGTTTGCTTTGAGTCGTTTTCACGTTTCATTTGCTGAATATTGGACTCGAGATTTCTTTGAGTTTCCTGAGATTCTCTAGCTAATGATTCATAAGCGGTCTTTTGTTGCTGTTGTTTATCCTCTACGTCTTGGAGTTGAATGTTCAATTCTTCAAGTTGTGTTTTAGTCTGGGAAATGTGGTTGTCCATCTTTGCTTTTTCTTCTTCCATTATTGCTATCTTTTCTGCTTGTTGATTGGCTTTTTCTGATAGTGATTTGTTCTTTTCAGACAAGTCTTTAACCTCCCTTTCCTTAGATGAAATATCATCTTCAAGTTTGGACTTCTCCTTGTTGATTGTTTCCTTATCTTCTTCTAGTTCTTTAACACGCTTGTTTCTCTTTGTTAAGTCTTCTGATAATTGTTGGAGTTCTTCAGTTGCATTCTTAAAGTCTTTGGACAATTTGTTACTTTCTTGTTCTAATTTTTCAATTTCAGATTCTTTTGAATTCAATTTCTCCTTGAAACTGTCTTTGGCTTGATCCAAGAGCTCTGATAGCTCTTTTTCTTTAGAGGAAGCTTTTTGAAGGGAGGCTTGTAACTCTTCTTCTCTTTCTTTAAGATTCTTAATTTCCTTTTCTAGACTCTTGTTGACAGTTTCAAACTTTTCAATATCAGCTTGGAGCAATACTTGTGTTTGCTTTGTTTCTGAAACAGTATTATTGAGTCTAATCTTTTCTTCTTCAATAAGGTTCTTCAAGGATTCATTTTCTTTTTCAAGCTTTTCAATCTTTTCCTTCAAACCAGACTCTAAATTGTGACAGTTTGTTTCACAATCGTTTAGCTTTCCATTTTTAACAGAGAGTTCATGCTTCAATTGTTGAATTTCCTCTTCTAACTTGGTAACATTGAGAGTAGAATTTTGAAGGTTATTGGTTAAGGATCTTTCTTTTTCTTTCAATTTCTCTAATTGTTCTAGAAGATCAGCAATCTTTTCCTCTGCGCCTTTCTTTTCCTTCCTCAAATTTTGAATAGTATTCTCATGTTCTTCAATTTTATGTTCCATATTTTCTTGTAGCGCTTTCTTTTCTGATTTAAGGTTGGTTATATCATTCGAAAGTTGTGAAATTTCTTCAGAAAGTTCTTCCTTGTTCTTTTTGATTTGTTGAACTGATTTGTTAAGGGTTTCTATTTCTATTTCTGCTAATTTCTGATTAGATTTGAACTCTGCCAATTGGTTGTGCAAATTATCTAATTCCTTGCTCTTCTTTTCTAGTTTTTCTGTTTCATCAGCAAGTAATTTTTCCTTTGTCAGTAGAGTATTTTGTAATTTTTCGTTTTCATGTTTCAATTGGGTATTGTTTTCAGCAACTTCTTGCTCCTTTTCTTTGCTGAATCCCAAATTTTCTTCTAAATTTTTGTGGGTGCGTCTTTCATTTTCGAGATTGTTCTGGATTTCAACAAGCTTGAGCTCAGTTTCTTGTAATTTTTGATTTTCAGATATGATCTCATCTTGATGCTTCTTTTGCATATTTGCCATGCCAACTTCCATATCTTGTAGTTGGTTTTGAACTTTCTTCATCTCTCTTTCCTTAGACGAAATATCATCTTCAAGTTTGGACTTTTCCTTGTTGATTGTTTCCTTATCTTCTTCTAGTTCTTTAACACGCTTGTTTCTCTTTGTTAAGTCTTCTGATAATTGTTGGAGTTCTTCAGTTGCATTCTTAAAATCTTTGGACAACTTGTTATTTTCTTTTTCTAATTTTTCAATTTCAGATTCTTTTGAATTCAGCTTCTCCTTGTACTCTGTAACAACATTTAAGTTACCAGCCTCTGCTTTTTGTAATTCTGTTGAAAGTTTGGAAATTTCCCTTTCTAATTCTGCTACCTTTTGGCTATTAATTGCATGTTTGCTTTCCT